CCTCCTGGCTTTTTATCTTCGCTCGGAAAACATGGCAGCGCTCTACGCATGTAGCAGAGGATGATCGGGGGAATCGGATGAAGTTGTCTTTTTGGTGCCCGACGACCTCTCAGACTTCGAAAAGGAAATCGTCAATCGGTCAAAACAACTAAGTTTGGTGTCTGTGTATCGTAGTTTCGGTTGTGACTCCGCTGGGGCAGCCTTTCATGCAGAACCGGCGCGATGTGACCCTCACGTCGCTCACAAAAGTCCACTGCGCGTTCTCTTCGACCTCACACCGTTTAAAAAAAATTGAGATCGCTGAAAGGGTCATAAAAAAATGTCAGATTTGAAACTCAGGCGTCGTCTGCTCGCAGCCGGTTGTTCGCGGTACGCCGGCGAACACGTCACTTATGACGAAAATAATCCATGGAGAAGGGAAACAAGAGGGACAAAGGACCAACACAAATCTCCATACACAGCTAATTGCCTGGTGCGCGACCGAACAAATCCGCCTGGTCCGGGTATCGAACCCGGGACCTCTTCATTTCCATCCCCCTTGGACCCTTGGAGCGAAGCCTGTAGTCTGCAGCACCGAATAAATGAATAAATTCCCATTGGCTCTGTGTTACGCGTGCCCCGTGGCTCGCGCTCGGCCACAGCTCTCGTGCCACGCTTTGCCGAGGCTGCGGCCGGTCCTGCTCCTCTCGGCGACGAGGAACATGGCGGCGCCTGAAGCATATCGTCGGCGGCCGCAACCTCAACAGTAGAGAAACGTGACCGTCCACGCCAGCACTCCGCAGACGAACTAAGGGGGCGCAAGAACTACATTCAGGCTTTCGCATTCACAACTCATTAGTGCTTAGGTGTCTTCGGATTTTTTTTTTCTTTCAACTGTGCTAGTTATAACTTAAAAAGTGGCTAATGCCACTCCGCTAGAAACAAGAAACAACTAACTAAACTTTTCTTCTTCTTCTTTTGTTTTAGATTCAACACAGGCGTACGCTGACGCTCAGGCCAAGAAGCAGAAGACGGTCAAGAGGAGCGTTGCTGTGTTCAAACAACATCAACAAGACAAAAAGGCGCTGGCACCATCGGGCAGTTATCAGAAGGCCTTTAATATATAGATATTTGGCTGAGATAATCGCTGTCGACGACCTTCCTCTATCGTTTACCATAGAACTTGGATTCAAGGGCTTCATGGAATTTCTGAAGCCTGAGGTAAATGTGTGATGTCTCCTCGGACAATGCAAGGAATGCTTGAGGATCTTGCGAAGAAGCGCGCCATGCCATCGCTGGCAGCGCATCTGGCTCAGTGCCCAAGCCGCTCGCTGCATTTTATCGTAGACGTGTGGTCTAGCGGGTCAAGGGACTCGATAATTGGAGTCAAAGTTCAGTTCGTTTCAAACTGCAGGAAGCTGAACACGTATACGCTCGCGTTTAAACAATTTCCGGGTAATCAGACCTCTGATCGTATCCCGGGGGCCTTTGAACAAGAGCTTTTTGAGCGCGGCATTAAGTTGTATCAGATCGGGTGCGTTGTCTGTGATAACGCATCCAAGATGAGTAAGGCATTTAACGTGTCTATGATCATGGAGGACAAGTGGTGTGTCAGCGCTGCAGCAACTGACCCTGATTGTGAAGGTGAAGCCAGCCTTGACGACCGCTCAGCCGCGGAGATTGATCTTTCTAAAGAACTCGGCCCGTGCCACCGCATTAGGTGCGCTGCATGTACCTTGCAGCTGGCAGTAAACGGCGCACTCCGGAAAGACCAAGCCTACCAGGATCTCCTCGGCATAGTGAGCAGAGTGGTAAACCGCTTCAGAAGGTCTCTCCTGCGGACAGGGCGTCTCAAAGAAATCTGCAGCGAGGGTCTGGTCCCGACAGCTGGAATGCGCTGGAATTCTGCCTTGGCCGCACTGAAGCGTCTCGCTCAAGTATGTGGGTTTAGAATATGTCTAAAAATGCGTTTTCTCAAAGGTTTTCTGCATATGCTTTAGTATTACTTTTAAGTACACACAAACTGATTTATCATGTTTCACGGAGATGTCTCCGAAATTTAATTTAACACATATGGTAACTGACCACAATTCGACATATGTCTTTTGGAGGGGGACCAGTGGCCGAGTGGGGCTAGCGCACACCAGCTTGGAGCACGTGGAGCGAAAGCTCGCGCTGCAGGACCCAGAGATCCTGGGCTCAATCCCCACCCCTGCCCGTTTCGATCTGGATGAGCATCGTACCGGCGTGCGGTCGTGTATCACTACCTCGTGGTGCACGTTGAAGATTCCAGGCTAGCGGTTGTACTGCACTGGCCAAATTTCTCGTCTACAGCAAGTGACTCGGCGCATCTTTGAAAGGGGCTGACCAACTACAGGCTGTCTAAATATCCCCACAACTTCAATTATTATTATTTTGAAATTTAAAACATAAAAAGATCTTACGATATCATGGGGAATTAAATAAGTTGCTATTATAGTGCATTTATTGAACGGAAGCTTCAACAATGTAACGCGGTAAATATGACACCGATTACAAAATATTTGACCGATCACGTGGCGCCATTTTTTGTGGAATGTCATCACTTCTGGTATGCGGTAAAACACCGTTTTGATCTCTCCACGCCGCTGGAAGGTGTTTACAAAAAATGTGTGATTGTCACACATTCTTGTCTTGCCTCACCTATATTTTCTCGCATGTTCGAGGTCGAAATGTTTTAATTTGTTTTTTTTTCGTCCCGCATACCAGATACGGAACCCAACGTGACAGAGAACGACAGAAAGCAGAAAACCGTCTATACCTAGTTCGTTCCACATAAGAACTGCACGAGTCTTTTCGCCTTGGAATTCTCAGAGAAAAATGGCGCGACCGGCATTCTGGTCTTTTCGGAGATTCGCACCCGCAAAAAAACAAAGCAGGCGCCTTGGCGTGCCGAGACAGGCCATAGTCACCATTGAGCATAGCTGGTAATCATGCTAAAATAACTCTCTCGTGCCAGATTTGGCTACAAAGCAGTTTTGATGAAAGTTTATACATTTCCTTCCAGCACGCAGTTTAACTTGACACTGGGAAGGGAGACCCTAAATTTGTCTAGCAAGGCGTCATGTCTGTTTCAAGTTACAACTGCTTCACACTATAGTTCATAACGATTGAACCCTGGTACAAGCAATCAGGCACATTTTTTTCAGTGTTCGTTTAATCCCGCATTGGTTATTTGGCAGATATAATGTCCATCTAAAACAACAACGTACCCAAGGGTCGAAAAGGAGATGATTAATCGCGGGGATGAGAGAGGCATAAGTCTTCTCTTGTATATAAACTCAAAATAATTGTAGTACATATAACAGCGTACATGTAATGCACACAGCATGTCACACAAGAGCCTTAGAAATTCCGCGTGCTGATATAACGAGTTGGAGGCTTTTTGAGATACTTTCGTAGATTTTCAAGAAAAGCATCCCATGACGTTTGTGGGCACAACTTTGACCCGAAATCCTTTCGGGTAGATGTCTTTGACACTGGCAAGCAGCTCGTGCAAGAGCACACCGAAACATCTCGGACAAGCGGGGCTATCGATACGGTACCTCACATCTTCGCGCAGTCTCGCCTGGCTGAGGCCCGCTGAAGCCACTCGGCGACGCCACTGACAGGCTTCAAGGGAACGGAATAACATCTGCAATCTTGCGTCTCACCATCAGCACGTGCTACGTCCGGGTAAAAACCTACCCGGCTGTAGAAGGCCTGTTCACACATGCAGCGGAGCGCTACAAGCATAGCGCTTACTTCGCGCTAAGCGCGTGCTGACGGGAGCGTTCACCAGCTTTGTATCGCACCGTCAAAACTGTTGCTCATGGCAGACGATAAGTAGCTGACGGCACGTGAGGAGCGCTACATCAGCGCTTCGCTGCATGTGAGAACATATTTATAGTATAAAGTGGAGAGCTCAGCTAGCT